TCGGACTTTATTTTGGAGCCAGCAAATTCCAATATAATGAAGCGCTATGTTTTAGAAGTTCGATATTTGAAAGTCATGATGACATTGCTGAGGGTACTTCTTACTAACTATACTTTTGCTCCTTTATGACTCTTTTAGTGTTAATTGGGTTGACTCATCCTCTGGCCGTTCTGATGTCTTGTTGGAATGACTTATTACACTTATGTTCAACCACCATATGCTTCATTTTCGATTACTGGGCCTGAAAAGACATAAAAGACTAGCGATGCAAGAGTGAAAGCTAGTATTGTCAGTTGGTATTTATGTTTTATAGAAATAACTTGAACTTATTATATATTATTTTGATATTCAACTTTGAATAAATAGGACCTAGTTAGTTTAACCATTGAAGCTCTCTGGTTTTACTTCTATGTTTGATAATATTGTCCTAGTCCGCTTCCTTGTTTACATTACTAAATCAATGTTGCTCGGACTTGGGAATGAGTGTCAAATACGGGTGTGGCACACGAGTATCGTCAATTCTTTCAAAAGTTTTCCATGTATTTGGAGGATCATATTCACATACACTTATCTAAAAATTTCTCAGACATAAGTGTCATATATAGCATTAAGTATCTTAACTGTTGAGAGTAACTTGTTTGCAATTGTCGGTTATATGCTTTGAATTTTTATTTTCGTACTTTTTTTTCCAAAGCAGGATTCAAGCAGAAACATTCAGATTTCAGCTTTCCACATTTTCAAGGTGATATTTTACCTCCCTTGTTTCAGCCTCTCTCTCACTCACACTTGCACATCATTTTCGCAAGTCCCCATCACAGGCCTACCCGTGGCCATGAATATGTTAAGTCACGAATTCTAGAAAGCCTCTTCATAAAGAAAGCCTCGTGGAAGTGTTATTTGTTAATAATCGGACACGAAAAGATGACCGATGATAAATATGAGTTTGAAACTGATAGTGACAGCACTCTTATGCACCACACTAAACTTTGTTAACCATAGTAACTTAAAGAGGCGAGCCAAATCATTTCAAGCTAACCACCTTCCACTCGGCTATGGTTCTCCATGTCTCAACTCTTTCTCTCACTTTAATATGTCGTGGTAAATGTGAACTCACTTGCATCCCATGATGGTGATAAGATGTCCTGCCCGACATCTCTTCAGATACTAATGTTCGATTTTGACTATTGAGATTGAAATTTAACCTCAGGCTATTACGAATTAGGGTATTATTCTGCTGCATTTTCAACATATTACTTGGACTATTAGCCTACTTATGTGATCTAAACGAAAGCGGGGGAAAAACCATTTCAGAATTTATTAAAATTGTTCTAAGTTCTATTTTTTTTTTCATTTTTGCTATTAACGTGCAGGTTTTTGTTGCTAATCCGAACAAGCCAAAAGAAATAAAGATTATTCTGGCAAAAAACCATGAGAAATTGGTAGATCTTCTTCAAAATCTCTCTGTAAAAGGTACTCTTTTGGCCATATATTTTTTGTACGAATGACACTGGATATATGGTTTGGTTAAAAACTTTCCATTCATAACCATTTCTTCAATTGTCGTCATGCTCGTCTGTTAAGAAACAATTATCTGTCACAGGTGGTGAAGATGAGGAATTCGAAGAGGAAAAAGAACTAATTATCAAGGAAATCGAACGAGTAGCCCGGTTGCATAATCTTAAACGCTAATTTTCTTCTCCTTGTTGGCTCTACTTCTATCGAATGCTAGTTCCGAGCATTGATCATCCGCGGTGTGGAAACTGATTGCCAAGGAAAGTAGAGTTTCAATCGAGGATTATCTGACCTTTGATATAAGAGAGTTATATAATAAAAAGGTAAGCCCTTCTAGTATCTTGTTTAGGAATGTCAATGAAGTCTGGTATTATTTGATTTTCAAGTCGTCGAAGGCGATTCCCCGAGTCATCCAGCTACTGTTCTTCGTACTTTACTTATATATTCGAGTATTGTGTGTCCGAATCCGATAACTGGATCGGGGTGTGAGATGATTGTACGAGTCATTTAGCTACCGGTCTCTGTGCTTTCATAATAAGTGTCGATTGGTCGTACTCGATACTCGGATCCAGGTATTCAAGTATAATTGAAACATTATTTCCTTAACAAAGGATAAAAAAAACTTATATTCTAGAGCGTTGATATTTTGTTGACTACACTTATGAAGGGACCTTTTTGTTTTAAATTAAAATATTAAGGATCAAAATAATAAAAACAAGAGTTAAAAGTGATTATTGATATTTTAATTTCTAAGAGCATTTCTAGATATCCATTGACGATGAACATTAGCATCATATAGTAAAGGAACTCCTTAAACAAAATTCAAAATTTTCATTAATTAATGAATTAATTTTTAATTTGATTCGAACATTTCAAGTCTTCATGATATATATATGGCGTATGAATATATATATATATATATATATGTATGTATTGTATATGATTATAAAAAATCGATTATATATAGATATACATGAGATTAACTCTTCGTCTCTTTTTCACCGAATATTTTTCTCAATTTTATCATTAATTTCAGTTTTCTATTTTTATTTATCTAATCTATATAAAATTAAGTTTTATGATATTCAAAGGACCTAATAGTTAATTATTTCACGAAAAATACCAGGATTAATTATCTTTGATGAGAAGGAAATGGGAAAGGAATATACAAATGAGGGGATTAAACAGAGGAAGACCAAGAGGCCGGAGTTTCCACGGAGGACGTCGTTGATCGGAGGCAACAATACGACGACGACATAGACCAAGGTGGTCAGCAATAGCTGTGCCACCAAATCCTAAGTCGTGCTGGTTTTTTCTCATCCAGGCAAAACACGTTGACGACACTACAAAAATGTATAATGTTTCTCTTGAACACGTTAATTTTTTTTTTCAACTTAATTCATCAATATACAATTAGGTTTTAAAGTCGTTTCTGATTTAAGTGGGAGTCATTATTGATGGAAAAGTGATTATCCAGTGATGATTAGGAACGGACGTATAAATTTAAGTCACGAGTGTAAACTCAAAAAATTATATTAAAAATTTAGAGGTACAAAATTAAATAATTTATATAAAATATAAGAAAAATATCTAAAATATAAAGGAATTCAAAATTTTTAAAGAGTGTGACCGCACTCTCAACACCTCTTGATTCATCCCTGTTGATGATGTTAGCGTTTAAGATACGGGGGAGAAAATGGATTTTGGAGATATATAATCCTTATTCTCTTGATTTTGGTCGATATATTTTCTAGTAAACCCTTTGTGTTAGTGTTAAGTGTATGATCATTTTGACTACTTATAAGTTGACGAGTCTGATTGATGTGATTAATTATTGATTGATTTTGATATATATATATATATTGCTAATACTAAAGTTTAGGTCAGAGGTGGCTTCTCTAGTACAGGGCCAGTGAATACCGAAGAGTCAATTAGGATTTATATAGGAATATACAGACTGTTCACCAAGAGTGACGGTGGTAGGATTCGAACTTTGCCTTACAAGCTCAAATTCCTAAATATCAACCACTTATACCAACACTCATTGTCATTAATTTTAATTTTGGCCGATCACGTAGTGTTTTTCAATGTTTATATAAAAAAAGCCATAATTTCTCTTGAAAAATCATAAAATCACAATGAATTCAAAATAATATTTATTCAAATTATTCATCCATAATATTTATAAATATTAAAAAACATTTATAAATGCCACACAAATATACAAATTATCTGCAATAAATAAATTAATCCAATATCCCTCGCGGTCTTATCTAATGATACCTTAAATTCGAATTGAGCTTAACGAGCATCGAGCTTAACGAGCAACGAGTCAAACAACAAATTTTTTTTAACGAGTACGAGTTGAGCAAAACTTTAACGAGTTTAACGAACAACATGTCGAGCAATGAATTTCTTTAACGAGCATGAGTCGAGCACTGTCCAACTCATAATTGACTCACTCAATAAGCATTTTAGTTACTATGATTATTAAATCACTAATTTAATAAATATTAAATATAATAATGATACATATTAAACTCCTAATAAAATACTCATAATCATAAAGTTCTGAGTATAATATATATATATATATATATATATATATATAAGTGTATTTTCTTTTTAAAATCAAAATAGTAATGTGAGCCGAGTCAAGTTCAAGTATTATTGAGTTTGACTCGACTCAAAAATATTAAAATTAAATTTAATTCAACTAGAAAATTTGTGAGCTTAAAATTATCAAACTTGAATCAAACTCAAAATCTGAAATTGAAGCTTGACTCGACTCGAAAGCTCGTGAGCTTTAAAATTTTCAAGGTTGACTCGAAATCAAAAATCGAAGGTCGACTCGAGCCCGAATAACTTGAACTTGAAACATTCTCATACTTATTTCAATTGAAGCTAAAACTCGAACTCGACTCAAGTTCAAACCTGAACCTTAAGTGCATGAAAGTTTCATATTACATTTGAAAAAACATATAAATGTTAATATTATTAATAATTTAATTTAAAAGTTAACATTTTAGTATATTACTTTTTGAGTTGCTCGCGAAATTTTCGAATTGAGTATCAAGTAGTTTGTTTCGACTCATTAAGATTTTGAGTTGAGTTCGAGCTCAAATCAAATCGAGTCCATTCAATTTAAATATTAGTCAAGCTTTTGGCCGAGTCAAATTCGAACAACTCACAATAGGGTCATCTCATCTACAATAATACATTTAATTCTTAAATTATAAAAATTATATATTTAAATCTTAAACAAAACATGATAAAATACAAATTTATTTATAAAATATTTTCTCGCTGCGAATAAACGGGATAAATATATTTATAATTTTACATAAATATAAGATTTAGATTATTAAAAATTATTTATCTAAAATTTGATTAAATTAATTTAAAATATATTATTTTTTACTTAAATATATCAAAATATTATTTATATTTTTAACCAAATCAAATTCATCGAATAACTAATCCGACTTTCAACAAATTTGGCCACGCCCACAAGTAACGGAAATCTCACATCCACAAATGGTGCCAAAACATGAAAACAATCCCTTCTTGTTCTTGTGAGCCCGTTTTCTAGAATGCCTCGACCTTTTACTCGTCGGCGTCGGAACCTCATCGGAAAGTAAACTCGACATTTCATTACTCCGGTCATAAACCGGCGGGAGCTCCGTTCTCCACCGTTCTAGTCTCGAATCGAGCCCTTCCATGCTTCCATCTAAACTCCACCCTTCACCTACCGAACTCTCCAGCTCTCCCATTTTATTATGGTTCATGTTTCTCGCCACCGCCGCGGCCACTTCCGATGGCGAGGGACCGATTTCGGAATCGGTCCAAATTTTCGGCCTTTTTTTAGAACCGTTAAGAATCGAACTTGATTTCATCTCTATCCCGTTACTTTTATCGAACACATAATTGACCAACGAATTTCCTCTTAAATTAACTTTGTAGTTGTTTTTCCATAGGTCAAAATCATTAACGATCGGCCCGCCATTGACAATCGACGATTCTTTCATCGATTGTCTAGGCCTGGGTCCTAAAATCGAACTCGAATCGCTCTTCGTTCGTCGAAATTCGGGTTTGATCGAGTCACGAAGCAAAAGGTGATTGTTATTGGCATTGCTTTTAGTGCTCGAAAGGATCTTGAGATTATTAGAGCTTTGAAACGCGTCTTCTTCCCCCATCAAATGCCGGTAACCCACCGCCGACGACCCGATCTGAAAATACAACGGCATGCTCCTCATCGAATTATCGAGCAACGCCACCCCGATGTTCAAAATCCCTTGGGGACGACCCGACGGTCGCCAGACCTGAAACGCCACGAAACTCATCCCTAGTGGGAGTTCTTGGCGGCCGCCGCGTGAAGGAGAAACCGGCGGGATAAGATTCTTAACAATGACTCGAACGCTCCCTACATGGATGTCGCGGAACCAATGCACGGCGTAGATTTCAATCATTAAAGTGGAGGTCTCGCTGTCGAGGAACTCATCGTCAACCCGAAAAACGAACTTATCGTTCCATGTAGGATCGGTGTGGCCTTGTGTGTCGATTCGAGTTGAGAGTTTCCGCTTCGAATGGACCCAAGCCACCGCGTAGGTTCGCATATTCCGACGACATACCGGCTGCAAATCTTGGGCGGAGATGATATTGAGTTCCAATAGGTGGAATTGCGGTGGCAAAACAGTCATAACTTGGTCTAAAAAGAAAGACAAAAACCTAGTAAGTTAATGTTTCTGTTCCGTTTTTGTATGTTGACGGTGACGTTTGGTCGTTATTGATGATGAAAGGCCGGCCCTTTGCCGTCGTAAGCCATTTACGACGACAAAAACTGGCAGGGGAAAATGAATCGGTAACGAGAAAATATAGGGAAAATTGTGCGAGATTTGTGGTGATAGAGACGAAACCGTTGCTTCTTGAATTAAAATGTGGACCGTTGGAGAGAATAATTTAGAGGTAAATTATGTGTTTAGTACCTAAACTATCAGTTTGATCCATTTTAATACTTAAACTTTCATTTTTTTAAAACCACACCTAAAGTTTAGTTTTTGTTTCATTTTAGTACCTTGTTCAAAATTTAAAATTAAATTTTGAAAAGATTAAAAGATTAGATACTAAAATGAATCAAAACTGATAGTTTAGGTACTAAAAGCGTTAGGTTTTTAATGGTTGGTACTAAAATGATATGAAAACTAAATGTTACGTATGATTTTGAAAAAATTAAAAATTTAGGTATTGAAACGGATCAAAACTAATAATTTAAATACTAAATATGTAGTTTACCCAAAAATTAATTATGTTAAAATATGATTAATTTTACGAGGATGAGAATATTTTCAAGTTTTTAATCTCCTAATTAACTGCGTGTGTAAGATATATGTTATCAAATGACTAATAAAGATAATGAACAAATTCTACTTTAAAATAATCTCATATTAGTAAAAAAAAACTTATTAACAAATCATTTACTAAAAGAATAATTAATATTAGATTCAATACCTATTTTGACCCACATATTATAGTAAAATTCTCATTTCACCCCTTGAAATTTTATTCCTTTTATCATGTTAGCTAATAATATTTTGTTAAAGGAATTAATAAAAAAATGAATTAATTTAAAATATATTCTTTTGGATAGATAAAAAATATTATTTTTCCTTGAACCAAACACATTTTAGAAATAAATAATACTCCTACAAAACGCAATATTAAATAGTTTACAATATACTTCCAATTAATAATAAAAAGTCAAAAAGAGACGAATATAGGGGCTAAAAAGAGAAAAGATCAAACCTTCAATACTATATTGGAAAATAGACCAAAATGTTTCAAGGCATGCCAAAGTACAAGAAGAGCAAAACTGAGCCCCAAAACTGCAAATATATTTGCCTATTAAATATTGAAAGAACAAAATTTGAAGTATGAAGTTTTCATCCTTTAATAGAAGATGCAGAAGATGCTGTGAATCTATGAAGTTTGTCCATTTCTAGATACTTGATTCCCGGACAGGGCTCGATCTTGACGGGGAGTCGGCCTGTAAAATCCGTTTCCTCGTGATCGAGTGTAGTCTTGGTTGTTCCCGTCGTAGGAACTGCCCCTGCCGTAACTTCGACTGCTGAAACGCCCCCTTGAAGCTTCCATTGGATAGCCACCTCGGCCTCTACCTCTCCCTGTCCGGAACATTTTAACGAGGCTTCGATAAGAGTACAAAAACAGATGTTCTTGATGTCACATTCGTCATTTATGAAACAAATCGTATCGGTTATTTTCACGGCAATACAGGGGTTGTACGATATGTGTGTGTATGTATACCACACGGATGCTGACCCGGTGACACAACTGCCGGTCCTGTTAGAAAGCTATACCGGAGGTTGTACGATGCCTAAAACGTGTACCGATAGGAAAGAATTACATCCATTAAAAGAAAAGGGAAAGATATACATACTTCCTCCTCGAGACGGTATATAGCTGTTCGGTCTCCGCTCTTCGATGTACACTTGTTGTCCGGCAACCACCGCACTTCCAGCCTACATAAGACTTGACTAAATTAGCATATAATATCTATCGAGATTAAAGTCCAATGTTTTATTTTTTTTCCTGGAAGTAAATTCGGACCTTGACGGCGTTATGAACACTAGCCATGTCTTCAAATTCAACAAATGCATAACAGATGCCAACGTCCTGCACACAAACGGAATATTTTAGCATTAAAAGCAAGATACGATAACCGGACCGACGAAGAAGATAGAAAGTTAACCTTGCGAATACGGATCACCACTCCATCGGGACTGATCTCACCAAACTTCTTGAATTCCTCCATAATTTCAGACTTGGATACAGTGGTAGGCAAGTTCCTTACATAAACAGATTTTATTTCACCTAAGACAAATGAACAGCAAGTTAACAACATATATTTTAGCTTCAAAATTCTAGCCAACAAGTGCCTTTCTAAAGTTGCAAACACGAGGAATGTTTCGAGATTTGCAACAAAATCTCGTAGAGATTCGACGGACTTTACATTTCATACACGCCACCGTCCCCTATAGTAAAACGATTAAACATATGCTTTTTTACCCTCATATTCTGCAGGTGAAATTTCATCAACGATATCAGTGCTGGGCACTTCAACTGCATTAGAGGAGATAACGGGTTGCTGAGCAGTGTGATTAGTATCATGATCCGAGTCGGAAGCGGGTGGTGTCTTCATGTTAACAGAAACCTGAGAAACAACTGATGGTGCAGGTTGTCCTTTAGCAACCCGTAACTTAGACAATCACACACACAAAACAAAAATTAAAAAACAAAATCAGTAACGCAAAAAGAAGGCAATATTCTAACTCAACAAACACAAATTTCGTGTATGAACATACGAATTACAAGAAATTAACCACCACACGTAGAACATACAATAGAGGCATAGGTTTGTTTTGGGGGTTCCACAACAGGTTCTTCAACAGGAGGCGGCATATGCTCTAGGACAGTATTCACCGTATGTAGAAGTGAACCGTTGGACTCATGCCCGCAACTGTTCTCCACAATACTTTCAGATTCCACAGCTTGTCGTAGTTGCTGCTCCGGGAAGCTATACTTGTCAATGAGACCATTTTCTTTGGCATTGACGGAAGCCAAAAGTTCCTGTCCGCGGATATCTCCTCCCAGCATATAGCTTGGAACTACGACGAGAATTTCAGATCAGTACTTCCTCTAAGATGGTAAGTACATTTAAAGAAATGTAAGTTTTCAATAAATTTCAGAACCAAAACTCATATCAGGTTGAGTGATGAGGTACCATAAATTTCAGATTATGAGCTAGACGAGAAATACCTGGTTCGGGATTTGTCACGAAAGCATTGAGTTTGAGATCAAGATTGTGCTGGGCTAATAGGACGGCAGGATGTTGGTGAATTTGTTCCTCTTCAATGTAGTGAAAGACATCATTTAGAACAAAATAGCCTTTATCTTGCGGTGCAAGGAAGAATGTTTGCACAAATTTCCTCCTGGAATTGAAATCCTTCACTCGCACCGCACCGGAAACCATCACCAGAACACCTCCATTCCACGATTCTAGGGAGCATGCCGTCTTTATCTCAATCCCGGTGATGTTAAGCGACATAACAAGAGCATGAATTTGCTTCCAAATGAAAACAGGAAAGAATAAGCATATAGTTCCATTCATTCAATGCATAAATAAACAATAAAAACCGCCATTAAAATGGGGAAATAGACCATGAATGACAATTGGTTGTTATGAACAATGAAAGTAAGCTTAAGTACGCAATCGAGAACCGAAAAACGAATTTCAAATAGCTAAGCGCATATATCACGAAGAAGACAACACCGAACAAGAATGAAAGCACTATCCCCTATCACAGCTTGCATATAAGTGTATCAATTAGGATTTGTAAGTTCATAATGCCACATGACCATACTCCATAAAAATTGCAACAGAAGGGCATCAAAGTAGCTTAGTTTTCTCATAAAGACTTCGCGACGCAAACTCGATAAACTAGAGAAATACCAGCAATCCGGTGACGGTATCCCTGTTATTGCCATCGAGGCGAACCAAGGTACTGGAAGCACTATAAAACTGGTGCACCAAGTGTGGCTGATGCTGAAGTACCTGATAATATTGCCCAACAAAATATGTTCCAACCTAAAAACAACAACATAACGAGCAACAGCAACAAAAACCCAGATTTTATTTATCTTCATTTCAACCATACAATTTCAAAAAAACAACAAAACACAATTTTTTAAAGAACAAAAGAGAAAAGGCAATGAAGAAAAAAGGGGTTTTTAATGTACCTGAGTAGCAGTAACCAGAATGGGATAAGGAGATGACATTGCTGAAACCCCCTAAAACCACAAAAAATATAAAAATAAACCCTTTTTTTATATAGATTCGAACACTGCCTCAAGATCTGCACCACTAAAAAGAGAAAAGCTCGCACATTTGAATAATCCAACCATGAAGAAGACAAATAAAACCCAGAAAAAACAGCAAGGATATGAAGAAATCAGAGAAGAAAAGTGATCACCTTTAAAAACATAGATTTGAGGGAAGCTTTTTTCTACAGTGTTGGGTGTGCTTTGCTGTATTTTTGGCTCAGTTGTCTACTGGGGATTCTTGGGGTTTACATTGTAATATATATTACCAAATTTTGGTAGCCGTCACTGTGAATTACTTGTGGGCTCTCTTAAAAGCAAAAAGAACAACTTTTTGGAAAAAAAATATGAACTTTATCACTGAACACAGCCCATATTGCAAACACGCGCAGTTTGTTATCTGTATGATACTGTTATTCCACACGTTTTGCAGTTTTCTTTCTTGGGGTTAAGTAACTTTTGATACATGAACTTGACAAATTTTCTTAATTTAGTCATTATCGATTTAAATTTTTTCATAGTCATTAACAATGAACACATACCATGTAAACACATCTATTCAAACTCGAGACCTCTGAGAAAAACAATACTCTCTTCTACTACTAAGATCACTTGATGGATTCATCTTTAACCATCTATAAATTAAAGAATATTATATACTTAGATATAATCGAATTCACATCTTCCTACCTAAAACAATAATAACAATGTCAATTAAACTAATACTCAATCGTTTTAGAACGTCGTTTTAAATGTAAAAATTTTATATTTAATTTTTATTTGTCATATGTAGTTTTAATTATTTTATGTTTATATTACAATAACTAAATAAGTAAAATAACTTTTTGGGTCTAATTTTTGTATTATAATAGTAAATATCACTTTAACTAGATGACCTTAAAAAATAAAAGTATGAACTCATAGTTGAATATATATATATATAATGTTAAGTATCTAATTACACTAAATAAAAGTTAAGTATACCAAAAACAAAAATAAAAAGTGTTTTTAATCATTATAGGGTCTCCCTAATAGATTCGTAATGTTCTTTTTATATTAAATTCAAAATTATGATTGTTTTTATTCCTTAAATTATGCTAAATTTGAAACTGATAATAATTATTGTATCATGTCGATGAGTATATAATTCTAAGGGTAAACTACTCGGGTAACCACTCAACTATGGTCAAAAATCATTTTGACCATTGATGTTTCAATTTGATCAAACAAACCACTTAACTATCTAAATGCTTCAATCAAGTCACTCGCCATTAACAGTAAACAAAACAGGTGACGTGGCAGTTAAAAACATTTTGGTATAATTACACATCGGTCCATGTTACTTATATATTCTTTCAATTTGGTCCTTATTTTAATAAATTAAAAATAAAGGCATGTGTCATCATTCCATTGGAGGATTAAATTTATTTTATTTTTTAATTTAATAGATTTACTTTTCTCTAATCGAATGATGACATGTGTCATTAATTTTAATTTATTAAAATGAGGACCAAATTGAAAGAATATATAAATAACATGGACTGATTATGTAACTATACCGAAATGTTTTTAACTTCCCCGTCACCTGTTTTGTTTACTGTTAACGGTGGGTGGCTTGATTTAAGCATTTAGATAGTTGGATGGTCTGTTTGATCAAATTAAAACATCGATGATCAAAATAATTTTTGACAATAGTTAAGTGATCAAGTGCAATTTACCCTAATTCTAATCATTGTTTAAATCCTAGTCATTTTCTCCCTCTCCTCCTCCCTCTCTCTCTTTTCTCTTTATAATTTATGTTAATTTCTATAGATTAAATTAATTTTTTTTCTTTTGATTTTGTTTAACAGACGACAACATCAATTTTGATGTTGATTGTAGATCGTCGGTTGTCTTTTCTTTCTTTTTTTCTTTTTTAAATTTTTAATAAGAATAATTATGCTTTTGTGACATGTTTATCTCTGTCTTTGTGGCACGTTTTTATCTATCTTTTGGTAATTTTCAGTCGTTTGGTCGTTGTTTTCGTTTATCTTTTTGTCACGGTTGGATTTGACATTGCCACAACTGATCAAAATGGCGCTTATTTGTTATCATGTTGGTCTTCCCTGATTTGGATTCTCAGATTGATTTGTATACACTACAAGAAATTTCTATTGTGTAACAAAATCATTTATCACTTTTAGTACTAAATTTATCACGATATATTTTATTTTGATGAATTTCATTTGTTATAATATTTGTTAGAACAACTTCGTTATGTAAAGTATACTGTGACGAAATTGTGTTTGTTACCATTTTATATTAGTTATCGTAACAATGAAATTTTGTTACTATAATTAACTTATAACGACAAAATATTTGTCACAATCAATTAACTATTTTGTCACGAGAAATATATTTTGTTATAGTTAACTTGTATTTTATCATCAAATATAGAAGATTTTTTTTACAAAAATACATATTGCAATAAAAAATAATTTCTCACAATTTCTATTTCGTCAGTATATGTAATTTATAGAGACAAAATATTTGTTAAATTAAAATATTTATTTTATCACAAAAATGATTTTTTCACAATTAACTTATAGAATAAAAAAATTCATGACAAAAAGATATATTACAACAAAATTTAATTCCTCGCTATTTTTATTTCGTGGTGAAATAAATTTTACACAATTTCTTATTTTGACTAAATTTAATATGTTATTGTGACCAAATAATTTTTTACAATTTATTAATGTGAAATACTCTTATTTGTTATAATTTTATATTGAGAATTAATATTTCGTGGATAGTTTTCTCATGTCAATTGACTCTGATTTGCGATTTTTTGGTGGTCTTTCAATAGTTTCATTCCCTTTTGTGATTCATTTGCCGATGCAGTCAGATTTATTCGTAACTTTATTTTGTTTGAGCTTTGATTAGGTTTTTTGACATTTTCCTTCTTTGGTCTTGTGTGATTTATGTGGATAGTTTTTGTATCAATAGTTATAAGAAAATATCATAATTATAATTTAATTTACGTTTATGATTATCCTTGTATATTTTCATTATAATTTTAAATATTTTTTATTTTTAATAAAACTAACAGATTTCTATAAAAAAAAATCTAATTATTGTTTGTACATACATCATGTCCGGCAACCTTAAAAGACAAACATTTTTAGTATCATTTTATAGTATTAGTCCTAATTCAAAATGATTTAATAGATTTTTAATATCTAAATATTATCGTTTGATTGTTAAATTATTAAATAAACAATCAATTATTAATTATTTCAAATTAAAAAAATAAAGTCATAGGATTTTTAAATATTAATAAATTATTAAATTATTTTGAATTACAATTATTTTAATAAAATATGTAATTTTAAAGATCAAAACTATTACTATTATATCATGTCACATTATTGTAACAAAAATGGGTAAATTATGTGTCTAGTACCTAAATTCCATTTTAGTATCTAAATTTTCAATTTTTTCAAAATCATACCTAAAGTTTAGTTTTTATTTCATTTTAATACTAATGTTCAAATTTTAATGTTAATTTTTTTTAATTTAGGTACTAAAATGGACAAAAATTGATAGTTTAGATACTAAATGTTTAAATTTTTAATGGTTAAGGTACTAAAATGAAACAAAAAATAAATGTCATGTATGGTTGTGAAAAATTGAAAGTTTAGGTACTAAAACATACCAAAATTAATAATTTAGGTACTAAATATATAACACCCTTAGATCGATACAAGTGACTCGATCCGATCTAAGGTGTCACATTAGGGCCACCATAACGACCCAGAGTAAAAATACGAGAAAACTAAATTTTTTGATAAACCATAAAAAATAAAATAATTTATAAATAAAAACACAAGTTCAGAAAATCATTTATATATATTAAAAACATAATTCAATTATACATCGTACCATACAAGTTTCAGACTCAGTATATAAACAAATATGACATATATGCCCCCTAATTATACATGTATTGTACACCACAAGCAACGCCGAAGGAACTCTCAATACTGATGTCGATAACTACACATAATCAATTCCTTTAACTTGAAATGGCAGGTAACAGAGTGAGTTTTAGGAAGCTCATTAATACAAGATGATGCTAAAGGACAAGCAAATATATAGAAGCATGAACTTTCCTTAGTTACACAGGCATATATAGGTCATAGTGATGAGTTGAGGTTTCTCTAAGTAATTCTTCAGGTAATAGTCAGGAAGCTTACAGTTCATAGGAAACGTTTAGAGGGACAGATTCAGAAGTTGGAGTTGGGAGTCTAGTGTGTTTCAACAAAACCAGAAATAGTAATTTATATTAATAAAATATATATTTTTTAAAACAGTAATACCCTCCACCTGAATACTCCATATATAGTTCCTCATAACTGCATCCATAAGGAATTATCATTTGCCCATTGGACGTAGGAGCCAACCTAAGGGAACATCTTGGGTTCATAAGGACTTACCCTATTCGAAGCATAAGAGCTACCTGAGGGGAGTACCCCCTAAGCAAAGCAAATAAGCCACCCTAAGGGCTTGCCTTAGGGTCCATAAGGTCTTACCACTAAGTCCATTGAGCTTAGGAACCCACCTAAGGGCCACCTTAGATTCATAAGGATTTACCAGTTTGATTGGAGTTGAACCTGCATAACTTCATAACAAATCCCGAATAGTACCTCATTATAAAACATATAAAACAATAATATCATAATCAAGAGCTAGAGATTAGAAACCAGATATCAAAAATTAGAGCTCATAAATCAAAGATCATAAACCATGTGCTATTTCAAATATCAAAGTTATACTTTTTAAAAATTAGAGAAAATATTTATGTGCATAAGACATTCAAAAATTAATTCTTCAGGAGCATTTAAGATTTCAGGGGCATTGGAAAGATATTTGGGAACCTTTATATCAGAATTATTTAGGATTAATATATATTGGGAGTGAATCCATAGATCAAGCCCATAAAGATAATTTTTGACATTTCAATTCTTGAAGAATTCTTAGTAATTTTACCCAATAAAGGTAAAGCATTAATCTACAATATTTAAGATTATATCGAATTATCAAGTTCAGAGTCAAATTGAACTAAACAAATCCCAACACTGTTATACTTGTCAATCATACGAACTAAGATATTTCACAAATATTCACCTCTTAATGTTGACTGCACTAGTTGAATTGATCACCTTTAAAATCATC